AATATGCTTAGGAATGAGTTTTTTAAGTGTTTGAATAATGGATAATCACATATTCAAGTTAATATTCCCTTCTTTATAGTTCTCAAAATTGATGGTTGATGTAAAAAAACCTAATGCCTGTTAAACAATTCTTTGTGGTGGGTTTAGAGACCATTTGATGATAAAGTCAATGATTTTTAATAAAAGATTATAATAAATGAGAGAATAAACTTTAAATTCTAAGAAAAAAAGTGTTTCTTTATTATATATGTCTGATTCTCTAAGAATAAAATCATGAATACTTACAAAATAGATAATTATGAACCTTTTACCTAGGTAGTTCAAAGGATACACATAACCCCTAAATCTTGTTATGTTGCTTGAATAAAGGAGTTGGAGTATTATTTCCTTCTAATAATATTAATAAAAAATAAATATATCTTACACAATATTAATGAGAAATAGATATTTATTTTATAATATTAATATTGATGAAAATATAATAGATCTTTAGGAGATTTTTATACATCTAAAGGTATTGGAAGATGATTATTCTTGACTTTTATCATTTTATTTTAAAAGCCATTAGAATTAGCAAACAAAGAAAGGGTTAATCATGCATAATAAAGGGTTGTTGATGCAAATAAACAATAGATTAGTAGTTAATTATGCATAAATAAGGGGTTGTGCAATGAAATGGATCAAAATTGATCCAAATCAAGGGGTAAGTCAATGTTCTTCCTAAGAACATTGCCCAAAACCAGCAAAAACCCAACCATGGGACAACTACTATCAAGCCTCAAAATATGCATTTTTGGCCTCTAAAACATATTTTCTTTATTTCAATAAGTCACACTATCAAGCACAAATATGCTTGAATATAAAAAACCTTGTAAAAAAAAACATCAAATAATCAAAATCAAACATAAGATCCAAATCTAGAAACTAACATAAAATAGTTTACATTTAAGGAAATATGGATTTAAAATTGGATTTCTAAAGCTATTTTTATGAATGAATAGGCTTAACAAGCTAAGGACAAACACCCTTCCTTTAATATAAATAACTTACACTAAACCAAAGCTAAAAAAATATTTATATATCAAAATGAAAACTTAAAAACAACTTTAATACATTAAAAAAATTTAAAATAACTTCATTAAATAAAAATCAAAGGAACAAAGAGGTGAATGCAACATTGTTTATTAAGCATTAAACCTCTTTTTATGCTTGTAAGCATAAAATAAAGCAAATAACAAAAACAACAAAAGTAGGCCATAAATGACCTATTTTTTTTGGTTTGCATTTAGAGAATTTCCCCCCTTACAAGCTTATAAAACTTAAGAAGACTTTTACTTTTGCTCTTGGACTTCTACCCTTATATTCTTTTTATTGATATTACTCTCTGTTTTCTTGTCTTTTCTTGTTTTTTCTTTTCTTCTTTTCTATCCAACCCTTTCTTGATCTTGAGAAAGGCGTTTATAGGGTTTTGAATCCATTTCTAATGTCTTGATCTAAAGAGGAGTGTTATGAACCCTTAATAAGGACCCATTAAAAAGTCTCTATGTGTGAACACATACAAACCAAATCTTTTTTTTTGCATGATAGTTGCACTGTTATCGTTGACTAAGTTACCCATTTTCAAGACTTTGTCATAGCAATTCTAATATCATCGTCATCTAAGACCATCTAAATTTGGTAGGGGGTGCGCATGTTTCATTTGCATCTAGTTTTGCTTAATTTGGAGGTTTGTAACATTATATTTATTCTTTTAAAGGTGCCAACCTAATCAATCCTAAATCTGATTTGTTTAATTGAACCCTTAATTGACTATCAAACTTTTAATTTTCATCAATTTGACCCCTGATTTCACCAATTTCAATCCATGAAGTCTCGCATGTCTTACAAGTTAGTTCTTAATTTTAGATTTCTTCAATCAAGTTCCTGATTGCTCATCAAACTTTAATATTTATGTTATTAAGGCTCTCATTTTACCAAATTAACTTTTAAAAAATTCAAAATTTTCTTGTAATTAAAAACTCAATAAATTTAATTAAACATTGAAAAATTCTAATTGAGTCCTTAAACGTTAAATTTTGAATTTCTCTCCTCAAAATGAATTTTATTTTCTAGTAGAACCTTTATTAATTGAAAATGCACTATCGAATTTTTCAATTTTTTATATTTTCATCTTCCTCAATCTATTTTTAGCAATTTACTGGGTATTTTGATATACTCTTCTCATATATATATATATATTAATTTTATTTTTTGTATTTTTTTTTAAAAATTATTTGTTAATGTGAGGCCTTAGAAATGAGTAACAAAAATTATCATTACCAATATAAGTGATCATTACCAAGATAGGATTCAAATACGCTTAGAGTCGTGAGAGCATATGTAACGTATTGATTCATACCAATGTTGAAAACCAATCCATAGTGTTAAGAGAAGAGACATTATTGACAATAATTTTGGCATTTAACTATTGTTCATGGTTGTGAAATTGAGAACATTGAGGAGTTGTATGACTAAATGATAGGCAAATTTGACACTTGACATTATTTGTAAAAGAACAATTATTAGACCACTGTGAAAAGCCATTATTCCTTATATTTTATTGCTAATTGCTCTACCTCTAGTTATTATTGTAAGACCCCTAAAAACCATGAAAATCAGATTTATTTCTAGTGTTGTTTTGATTCTTGTTGGACTTCCAGCTTCCACGAAATCATCCTCTATCACGACTAAAATTAGGACTGTTGTTATATAAACCTGATGACTAATGGTGTGTAGCATTTGTTGATGGTGGCTGAGGTAGTGTGGGCAGTAAAGAAGGAGTGACAACCATGAGTTGGAGAGAGGTCTTATGAAGGAACTCATGAGTAAGTAGATGACTATAAAGATCTGAATAAAAAAAAGATCATGCCTTGGTTAAAAGGCTTATTACCATGTCTTTAAACTCACCACAAAAACTTCAAAACACAAACAAATTGAAATCCTTAAGAGAAATTAGCTAGCCAACAACTACTAATTCATCAAATATATATATATATATATATATATATATATATATAT